TCTGTGATAGCCCATAATTGTCCTCCTTGGACAAGGGAGTGTCCATGAGGTTTCTGAAACAGGCAGAAATCAATGTCCTTCTAGACTAATTTAACTGCATCTTTATGTTCTTAACTGTCTAGGAGAGAAAGACCATAAATCCAGCTGATGTGACCTAGCTGTGTCAGCGCCATGGCCTGCAGATGTCAGAAAGAGTTTTATGTTTTTCCTGGAGCCACCTAGCATGGCAGCTGGGCCATGTGGGTTCCCCTGTGCATTTACATTGTGTGGTGCCCTTCATTGCCAGGTCCACTGGCAGAGCCATAAATGGCAGCATGGAGGATTTAGCAGGGAAGCTCTTCTGTTTATTCCTTCATTCATCTTCCTTCTTCTGATAGACTGTGAACAATCTGCTTTCCATTGAAGCAAAGAAAATAAGGAGCTGGGCAGAAGATTTAAAATCAGTGTCCAAGAGCCAGCAGCAGTTGCAAAGCAAATTCTTCATAAGAATCAGGAAAAAAAGAAATGTAGAAATATGACTTAAACACACAACAGGCACAAGATTTATTGACTGAACTCTGCTGTGACAATCCTTAAACTAATTTTATATTATGAGATGAATTAGAAGCAGAGCCCTTGGCAGCTTGCTCGCAGGCCCACAGAATATTCATTGTCTTCTCAGCAATTACATAATTTCCCACTGTTAATTATTCTTGATGCCCTGGTCTGTATCGTGACCTTTAACCATGGGAGAAAATCTCCAGGTAAAATTCAACCTTACTGAAAAATGCATGTGTTTTTAAAATGACAAAAGCAAAAAGTCCCCTACCATAGGGATTCCAGAATTTGGCAGGAAAAAATAGTGCCATTTTTATTTCATGACCAAAGAGAAATGGGGAAAAGCAAGTTGCTGCTCATTTTCTATTGTTGTGTCAAAATTCAGTATTATTTAGTAGGAAAAAATAGAAATAAATTGAAAAATGAGAGGTGCTGTCTGGATTCCACCATGAGGCCACCATACAGTGGGCCGGATTGCCCAGAGGGGCTGTGCAGCCTCCACTCTTGGAAATTTTCAAGAAGCAACTGGACAAAGCCTGGAGCAACCGGCTGCTCCAGAAGCTGAGGAGGCCCCTTGCTGCTCTGATCTATGTCTGGAGATGGGAGGATTGCAATCATGTCAAAGCGTTGCCTGCACAATACAACAGAGGGCTGTTAGACTTTCCGATTTGGAAAATAACAAGTCAGTCCATTGACAGGGCAAAATTACTCAAAAAAACAGCTGTTCTGGGAGAGTGAAAGGCCTGAAAAACAGTAATGCTGGGAGGAAAAGAGCTAATTGGAAAGCATATGAGAGGAAAATTTGTGGTGTGGTAGGACAGCAAAGAAAAGGCTAATGCAACTCCATCAGGATTACTGTGCAGGCTTCTGGGTATCTCACTACTAAAAATATATTAACAGCTCAGAGGGAGTCTAGAAGGCAGCAATAAAAATGATTTAAAGGGGTAAAGCAAAGCAATTTAAGCAGAAGGAAAGCAAGAAATGAGCTCTACCTCAACTAAAGGCCTCCCTGTGTTTTAAGATAAAGGGGAGAATAATTTGTTTCTAATGAAAAGACAATGAACTATACATTGAGAAGAAAGGAAGGCAAAGGGCAAAATTAGACCAAAAGTGAGCAAAACCATCTTGGAGCAAGACATGGGGCACGGTGTGCCAGCCTTCCCAGTGGCTGGGATGGATGGCAGTGCTGAGATGCTGCCGTGGGCCATGGAGCTGGGCAACTCCTTGGTGTGGGGTCTGGTGATGATGTCCCTACCAGGGCAGTGAGTCACAAGCTCCTTGGCAGAAACCTCAGGTAAGTGTCTAAAAATTAGGCAGGATGAATCTAAGCCATTGTCTTTTACTATTTTTCTGAGGATGAGAAAGTCCAGGATTAATCATTAAAAAGCCTTCTGAAGCCATTGTGACTGAAAAATGGGTCGAAAAAGTCTGGCTAACTCTGATAGTGACACAAGCATTGTGAGCAATAATAAACCATTCCTGGGCTGTATCACCCAGCCTGTGGCTTACCAGGTGTTAAGAATGGGTCACAGACGAACCATGGGGTGAAAAGTAGCAGAATACCATAAAGAATACATAAAGTTGTACTCCCGTGCACTTGGAAGGTACTTATTAGTGCCTTAGGTGATTATTTGGTGTCAAACATACTCTTAGCCAGACTATTTTTTTAAGAAAAGACAATATATATCCCCCACAAAAACAGTGGTCATGAGTTTTCAGGCATCCCTTCCCCATCTGATGGATGTTGCCTTGTCTTGCTGCCCTGCAGCTCTGTAGTGCAGCAGGTCTGCACCTCTCTCATGTGACTGCTCCCTTGACAGATAATATTAAGCTTGTATTGTAGATGAGCGAGCTTATCCGTGACAGCCTCCATAACTAGTTAATTTCTCACTGCTTGACATTTATTTCTTCTGTAACTGGTTTTATGGGTATTTTTTTCAGTAAGCAATCCTACCAAGGCTAGCCTGATTTTGATGGTTGTAACCCTAGCCACACCAGTCTGTACTGTGAAGTATGAGGCATCTACACTGGTTAAAAACCATCTCTCTGGCTTGAGGCAATTTGACTCCTTCCACAAAACTATACCGTTTTGTTGAGATGCTCAAGCACTTCTAGAGAGTGCTTGCATGTAGTTCTTGCCAGGAGAAATTATGGTCCTACACATCGTGGTTGTTAGAATCATGGAATCATTATGGCTGGAAAAGACCTTTGAGATCATCAAGCCCAACTGCAGACACGTGCGTTAAGGGCACATGAGGGCGCATGGTGACGTCGGTGGGGCGCAGACCGCGAGCGAAGGCCGCGGAGCCCTCAGAGGGCAGCGCTGCTCAGCTGTGCCCCATGCAGAGCCCCGCGGGGACACCGGGGAGCGCAGCAGCGCTTAGGCCTTGCCAGCTGTGGGGAGAGCAGGGGGGATCAATTCCGAGCGCTCTGGAGATCACTGGTGCCCTCAGCTCTGCTGTGGCCGGCGCCGAGCACAAGGAGTGACAGGATCCATCCAGTGTCCATGGGCCTTGCTGGGCGTTAGTAGGTCACGCAGCCTGGCAGCCGAGTTTTCCAGGTTTCCAGCCCATGGGTGCCTCAGAAGCAGAGGGGTGGCGTGACGCGCACAGAGGCCTTAATATTTCGAAGAGCCGCTCTTTAGCGCCAGGAGGTGATGGTTTAAAATGATATTTTAAGCCTCTAAGTTTCATCTGGGTTTAACACGTGCATCAAAGTGTTCCCGTTGCTCTTTGCTGCAGGTGGATTTAGAGGTGCAGCAGGCACTGTTGCTTTTGCTTTTGGAAAGGTGATTTCAGGTTTCTTTTATTTGGCACCCAGTGCAAGCCCCCCTTTCCCCAGTCTAGACGGACTCCCGTGTCTTTAGCTGTTGCAGTGCAGCAGCTTATCATAGGCTTTACCTATGATGACTCTTGGGGAGGAAAGAGATGTTTTCCTCTTTCCAATCACGCTGCAGAGCCCATTGGAGACCTATGGTGAATCATGGCCTGAGCTACCCGCCAGAGCCCTCCTCCCTGGTTTTCTGCACAGCTCCTGCCCTATGACTTTGCAACATGCGGGCTTCCTAACTCTGTCTTGCTCATGCCCAGGAATGAATCTGTGCCCTGTACTAAGCTTGAACCTGGATCTCTTCAAGTAGTGCATCTCTGGATTTTTTAAATCTCTGGATTTTTTAAAGGAACTAAATTTAGGACTATAAACAATTTGATGCTATTCCCACTTCCCTTTAGCACGGCAGGAGTTATGCAGGACAGCTTTGCCTGCTTCTTCTTCCTTCCTTCCAGCCTGTGCTACTCCAGGCCCTTCCACCCCAGAGTCCTGGCTGCCAGCTGGAAGATGCTCTCTCCTCTGCTAGGTCCAGGGGCCAGAGACTGGCCCAGAGCCACACGGGAAGGCACATGGGAAATCAGTGCGTGCAACTATCTGTGGTGGGAGAGTCTGAGAACACGCGGTGGAAAGAGCTTTCTATGCCTTGAGTCACTCTGTGCATGCGATAAAGCAGACCAGCCTAGAGCCATGGTGATAACGAAAGACATAAGCTGGGAGTTGAAAGGGTTACTCACTCATTGTCGACGTTGTTATTCTCTGGGTCTGGCGGGCTCCTTGTCAGCAAGGCCTTGAAAAGAACAAATATCAGAGCATCATAGCTTTCCATTACACTACTTTAAAGTTATTTCTGTCTCTAATGGGCCATATCTGCATTTACGCCCCTGAAGAGCTTTTGGGAAGTCAATACAGGTACAAGGAAGACACTTGTATTAACAGTAGTGAGGCCAGCATCCAAGATAGATAGCTGAGCAACTTCAGGCCATGGAAGTGAAATCACTGCATTTTACTCAATTAAACTTTCAAATTTCCTGTGAATACACACTACACAGATTAGTAAGTAGCAGTATAAAAAGATCTGGTAATGAAGTAAGTTTTCGGAGTGTAGACCTTTCATCCTTTCATCTGACAAGTCACTTTTGCTGGAAAGCACTCACAATGCATCAGCCCTATACTGGCTGAAATGTTCTGGTCTGGAGGTGAAATATCCACATTTCATGTGCTGCAATCCTGGAGATGTCCACTGAGGCACCAATGGGGCCAGCCAAAGCCAGGTCTAGTGGGATATGAAGTGAAAAGATGATCAGACCTTATGCCCACCGGAGCCCACCAAATCAGACCAGTAATAAAATGAAGCCACTACAGCCAGGCCAAATGTAAAGTGCTCCCCCCAAAATATCACTTTCATCTTTTGGGGCTTCTTTATTGTACTCTCATGAAGGAGTGGAGGGAAGGGGCAATGATCATGACTTTACTAATAACCAGGTCCATTTTGTCTAGTCATTATTTTTTCCTCAAGCTGTCCTCCTTTTCCCATTGTCCCTTTACTTTGAATTTATTTATTTATTTCTCTGTGCAGTCCTGAATCTGGTAGGCCTGATTCATACACGTAATTCTCATTCTCATGATGTCACTACCAAACATTAAATGGGCAATGAGGAGAAAGAAATTAAGGCATTGGCACCCAGAAAGTAAAAGAGAAAAGTTGTTTCATCAGCATAGCAGAGAGGAGAAATTGGTTTTTGCACAAAAAAAAAGGCGGGGGGCTGGGGCTGAGTAAAGAGAACAGAGCAAAGGGGAAGCAACTGCAACTACCTGATTTTAATTGCAGGGGAGATGTTTTCACTGCACTCACTCTTTAGTTGCTGCTCATGCAGATTTCCTGGAGTCAAGGCTTAAAGTACAGCTGACTCAGATACTGGGAGGCAGGTAGACCGTTGGCAGCAAACTTCAACTCCCACATGTTTTCCTGGGTGGGTTTTGTGCTGTCACGGTCACCTCTGGATCCCACGCTTGAGCTGGTGAGTGGGACTGCAACAGACATGGGTCACAGGCTCCTCTAGTTGAGCTCGAGCAGTTTACATTTTTGGAGCTGGGAAAGGTCACTGCCTTCCATGTTCTTTGTCATCTCAGTGCTTGCTTAAAACTGAAAAATTATTTTTTTACCAAAGACTTGCAGCATGTTTTGATGCCTCTAGAAACCAAGTGCACCTCCTTTCAGAGGAGCCCCTGCTCTTTGGCAACAGATTTGTTTTTTTCTGGAATAGCCCAAACTGCTCTAGAGACTGCTCCTTGGATCAAAGGGTTGCTGAGGCTATACGAGAAACCAGGCAGGGAATAAATGGAACTCCCTTCTTGTTATTTAGGACTGTTTCCTGGCAATCTCCTACAAGCAACACAAGCAAGGCGCAGTCCCTTGCTGTGATGCCAGGAGGATCCATCTTCTAGCACTCCTGGATGGCGTTTGGATTGCTTCAGGGAGGAGTCTGAGCCACACAGGCGGTTGCCCTTTGGTTTTCCTCCTTGCAGCTGACTCCTCCACATTACGAGCTGTACGTGGTGTGTGGGTGGAAGACAGAATTAATTAGTCATCAGGACAGAGCGGCTCTGGTTAGCAAAATCTGCTTCTCTGTGCAGAATTAGCTCCCACCTTCTCCAAGGGATCTGTCAGCAACAACACTTATTTCCCAAGAGCACGCCGCATTGGCGCAGGTAGGTCTCTGCTGACATCTTAATCTAGTGCATCAAGAAAAGCTATGGAGGAGTGAAAATCAACTCCAGTCTCCGCTTTCCCACCTCTGCCAAAGCCACCATGTTTCAGGAGCTGTTTCCAACCCCTCTGAGAGGGGCTGGCGATGCAGCCATCCGAGATGACCAAGCGACACGATGGTGCAAGTGGCAGGCAGGACGTGTCGCGCGCCGTGTCGCGTGGAACTAGACAAAATAAGCCCAGCCCTACCCTGCCTGCTCAGGATTGCTGTAACGTCTGCGATGGTGCAAGTTCAGCTGATAATTGGTGTTAGTGCTTTATGCGGGTTAATGTGATGCACGCTTGACAATACTTTAATATTAGTGGGTTCCTAGCCCGCAGCTAAGCGGGTAATCGCTGGCCTGTTTGGCCTAGCCCTTGCTAACAGACAAATGAAGTCAGCTTCTCATTTCTGCAGCTTGCAGTCATCTTTTTATTACTCATCCGGACCTCAGTGTGGCTCCCTGCTTTCCACCCTATTCCTAGAATGGATCAACAACCTGTTGTGCTGGGTTCTGTCATACCACAAAGCAGTGCAGCCCCAGAACGATGACCGGCATTGTACCTTGTGTGTCCCTGAGTCCACACGAGCCCAGGTGGCACGAGGTGCAGGTGGGAGGGCTGAAGAGGTTCATGTCCCTTGCTGCTGCCCTGTCCCTCCACCATGTGCTGTAAGTTCTGCGGCACAGATGGCTGAGCCATGTAGGAAATAGCTCCTGAACTGCTTCAGGCTCGGATGTTAAATTCATCCAGTTTTGGCTTAATTTAACACTCTGAAATGGGAGCAACAGTGGCCTGAACGCTGCTGTACATACAAGTCAGCTGCCCTCATGCTTGTGGGGAGCAAGGCAGGGTGGAAGATGGCGCAGGAGCTCTTGTTCTCAGATGGTGCTCAAGCCAAGGCTCTTGGGGTGCAGGGTCTCTGCGGTCGCTGGTTGGGGTTCTCGTTGCTCAGCTGCACACTCGCAGCAGCTCCGAGCAGCCCACCGGGGCTATGTCGAAACCCGTGAGCTTGAAGGTTCTGTGACTCAACTGTAAAAATATCCTAGCCTACAAAACTGACCAAATTCATGCTGCCTATCTCATATCATCGTTGCTTGGGAAAGCACCCCAGGCCAAAGCCATGCCAGGGACAATCCAGCAATGAAACGGGGCAGAACACAGGGACTGGTGCTGGGCAGCCACTGCTTTACAGGCCCAGATGTTGCCCTGAGTCTCTTTACACAGAATCATAGGATGGTTGAGGTTGGAAGGGACCTCTAGAGATCATCTAGTCCAACCCCCCTTCTCAAGCAGGGGCACCTAGAGCATGGGGCACAGGGTGACATTCAGGTGGGTTTGGAAGATCTCCAGAGAAGGAGACTCCACAACCTCTCTGGGCAGCCTGTGCCAGGGCTCTGTCACCCTCACAGGAAAAAAGTTCTTCCTCACATGGAGATGGAACTTCCTGTGTTTCAGCTTGTACCCATTACCCCTTGTCCTGTCACTAGCTACCACTGATAAGAGTTTGGCCCCATCCTCCCTACATTCTCCCTTCAGGTACTTGTACATATTGATCAGATCCCCTCTCAATCTTCTCTTCTCAGGCTAAACAGGCCCAGCTTGCTTAGTCTTTCCTCATATGATAGATGCTCC